TGTGTGTGTGTGTGTGTGTGTGTGTGTATGTATATATATATATATATATATAACCTGACTAGAAGGTTGAAACTCCTGAAAATACAAATGAAATTACAAAAAAAAATTCTTAGCTTCTTTTGGGGGGGGGGGGGTTGTATTAAATTTGTTGTTTATAGAAAAAAAGAAGAATAATTAATGTGACAAAAGAGACTTTTGTCTAACAACGATTATAAATGATTTGGGTCTACAGCCCATAAATCATATCACACAATTTAAACCCTCAGCACATTTAACCATAACTCAAAGAAAAAGAAGTTTCAAAAGTAAACAATATTTTCCTCTCAGTTTTTTTAAATTTAATTTAGTAAATTCAATGGTATGATGAGCTTATGTTCCAGTCAGCGGTCTAGAACTGTATTGTTAACGGGGTAGAGGCTCTTGGCGTGTGGGATAGCAACGTGGGCTGATATATTTAGTTCCAAATCTTCAAGAAGCTGTCCCAGGACCCAGTGGCTATTGCCATTCCATCTTCAGTTACACCAAGACAGCTGACCCTGTTGTCATGTCCAGCTAGAACACCTGAAAAACAAAACAAAAGTTAGCTGACAGTTTAAGATTTATACAAAACTATGTAAATACCAGATTTTATAATATTGTATATCTAAGTGTAGTAATTTGTACATTACACGATTTTAGTTTTTCTTTCCCTACACTCTATCAAAAATTTAGCCTAAAAGTTTTTGTATAGCATCTGTGTTAACTCTCACTAAAAAAATAAATACAACATTTTAAGATCTGAAACAAATATCTGAATAAGAATATACTTTTTAACGAACATCTGAACTGGAATTAGTGTTCACATATTCAAGATTTTTTCTACAAGTTTTCAACCATTTTTCTTGTGTTCTAAACATCCTGGATGTCACTTCGATTCTTGAATGCAAAACACAAAAGTAATTACAATATCTCAATACAAGCTATGAACACACGTCTTCTTTCCTGTTGATCCATCATCATAAATCCAGATAATTTTGTAATAGCAATTACTGAAAAAACCACAGTAAACAAAACAAACTGTTAGAAGTCTGATATTAGAGAAACTGTTTTCGACATATTCGTGCATCCTTTTCAGTCTCAAGTTGTCTTCTGGCAGATTGACCCATTTACTGTGGTTTTTCACTAACAATGTTAAATATAACTAATTGCAAATGTGGGGCTAACTGCTTTTGACAGCATCAAAAGGAACTGAAATAGTTATTTAAAAAGAAATTATCAATTGGGTCCAAATGTGACAAAGCTGAGTTCACTGATCTGATGTATATATTGTATAAAGTGCACAACGGTTGAATCATTTTCAGTCATATCTGCAACATTCTGAATGCACGTAATTTGGAAGATCAATTTAACACTAAATATTATTTAGTATCTTTGAACACTCTCGAGTACGTGGCCTGCAAATTTTATTACCGATATTGTAACTGTTTTCAATTTACAGTAAACAAGGAACAAATATACAAAAAAGAAAAAAAAAGATGTCGGGTATTTTCACTATCGATTGTTCAAATATGAATAACAAATAACTGAATATCAAAACTCAATAATTATGTCAACTCTAATAAAGTTACTCTGATCAGATGATTGATTATCCCAGAATATGTGAAAAAAAATAGCTAGGCCCTGTAACAATGGTTTTAATATTTTTTTAAGAAGGGATTATGTCAAAACAAGATAAAGAATTAGCATTACGATCTACTGTTTACATTATTACCACTAAATATTTTAATTAGGTTAATTATATGCAAAGAAATGTTAAAAAGAAAATAAGTATATCATAAATACATCAGCAAGGTGTAAAACAAGGTTTCCCAAAATGGTCGATATTGACTATACAGGGGGTAACTAAACACCTAGGGTAAGGTTGGCTTATGCAACTAACCACCCTACGTCGTAAAAGCGTGGGTAGCAAGAGCGAGCGGATGACGTTCGTTCCTTTTCTCGAATCTTCCACAGAGTATAAATTCACACAGTAATGAAAAATAAATTTTTATTTAATCACTTGTTTTATGTCATGCTTCTGAAAAAATATAATAGTATTATGTTTATTGATATAAATTAATTTAGGCCCATCCATCTCATTAGAGAAAATTAAAATCTCATTCTTTTTCACATTTTGTTTCTTACCAATTTTATTATGATGAATAAAAGTTGATTATATATATATTGAAGTTTCTTGACTATAACGATATATTTATAACATATATACTAAGAATTTGGGGGTCGATGGAAACTTTATAAGTTTGCCGAGGGGTCAACAACTCAAAAAGGTTTTGGAAACCCTGCTGTAGAATATGCACGGTACCATGCAATACTCACAACCACTGTAATTCCCACGCTGTAGCAATGACATGCAACAGACATTACAGTTTTCATGGAAGATGGTGCCCCTCAATACTCTGTTTGGCACATAAAACGGGAGCACTTTGGGTACAAAATCATTTCTTGTCAATCAGCTTGTGAATGTTTACCTTATTCACCAGACCTAACACAAGCCAATTATCTGGATGTGGTGGTACCCGAAGTAATGTGTGTACAGTGAAAAACCTCGTACAATGACGCACATCGAGGACGCAACTGTCGGGAAATTACCAGCATATCAAATGAGATGCATGTTGTTGCCATAATACCCATTTTCAAACAGAAGCAATGTATTCTGGATGCTGGAGGAGCACATTTTGAACAGTTGCTGTGATAGATCAAATATTAAATGTTAGTAAACGTCCCTGGTGGCAACTATGGCAATTACATCTTATATATATACCTTTAACACCCTTGTGCAAATTCATTTTCCTGTGCCATATTGTTCAGGAGATATAACAAAATGAACTGCAGAACTTTCTTTATAATCACCCTGTATGTTCATTTCAAAACTTATGTTGCTATTTAAGACTTTTTAAAAATATAAACAAAAGAATAACCTTCAAATACTTTTATGGAACCTTAAAACATTAACCTATGAAGTTATCACAGGACATCATAAATTTAATCAAGGGTATACCTGCTCGCTCTGCCTTCATCGAATCCCACACATTACAGTTGAAGTCATCATAACCTGCCATTAGAAGTCGGCCACTTTTCGAAAAGGCCACGGAGGTAATGCCACAAATGATGTTGTCATGAGAGTACATGGCCAACTCCTGGTCTGCACGAATGTCAAATAGACGGCAAGTAGCATCATCTGATCCAGTGGCAAAAGCATAGCCATTGGGAAAGAACTGAATAACAAAATATTATTGCTTAGTTGTTTATGTAATAATAAATTTGAAAATTATTTAGTGAATTTTTATAGTTGTAAGTCTTAATAAAACTGACAAAAAAAGAAGAACATTAAGCTAAAATTGCCCACCTACTAAAATAGTTACTTGTTACATTAACAAATAAGTAATATTAAATTTTATCAACAGATGCATAGTCAAACGAAGACTAGATCACCTTCTAAATTGAAAGAAATTCACAACTTTATAAAAGAAAACCACAGAGAAAAAGGAATATTTTGTATCACTTTGCACACTGCTGATACTATAAAAAAGAATCCTATTAACATATAAAAAGAAAGTTATTTACAGAAGAGAAATTAACTGGGTTCCATCATTTGTGTACCAAAGTCTAATGCTTATGGTCTGTTTTGTTTTAATTTACCATATAAGAAGTGGAAACTAAGAACATTTGATTTAATTAGACAAGAAAGCATATAACACTATTAGTAACATGCAGAGGGCATTTAAAGGAACAATTTTTAAGCATTGAAAGACAGGCATTTTATAGAGGGGGGGTGTTAGGGGAGACTGTAGGTTGCCTCTGGTACACATAGGGTGATTGGTTTGGTTATTTAGAATTTGGCACAAAGCTACACGAGGGCTATCTGCACTAGTCATCCCTAATTTAGAAGTGAAAGACTAGAGGGAAGGCAGCTAGTCATCACCACCCACCGCCAACTCTTGGGCTACTCTTTTACCAATGAACAGTGGAATTGACTGTCACATTATTTAACGCCCATGGCTGAAAGGGCAAGCACATCTGGTGGGATGGGGATTCGAAATCGTGACCCCCAGATTGTGAGTCGAGCACCCCAACCAATTGACCATGCTGGGCCTTAATGCTTATGAGGTCTTTGGTTTAATATGAGAGATTTGTAAGCTTATTTTTATATAAATTACACATTGCAAAAAAAAAAAAAACGTAACATATTTTTAAATGAAAAAATACAT